CCACAATCACAATATCCATGATTACCGCAGACATCAGTACTTCCTGGTGCTATACAAAGTTCATTGCCAGTTGGACACTGACATGATTCACCGTACCAGCCCTCAAGGCAATTACACACACTGCAATTACAGATACCTCTCCCTCCGCACTCTATCCCATTAACCTACAGAAATTATGATAAACGGTGAGATGTCTGCACCATATGATCCATGCTCTTTCATGTTTCAATCATCTAACTAAATAATATGACTCGATTGAAAAATTAGTTGATGTTTTATGGTCAACTAATTCGTTGAGTAAATGACGGCAAAATAAAGCTGAAATATTATTTATAATCATTGAATGATACCCAAAATTTAAAATTATGCGGTAATGTTCTATGCGTTTCAAAAATTCATAAAACTTTAGACAAAGGGAGAATTATTGCACGCTCATGAGACTTTATGGCTTTATGAGTCATGAAATAATGATGAAATAAAAAAACGGTATATTTCTCGGATCAATCTGCTCAATTATTTGTCCGAAGACTCAAAAAAGCGGGAATCGTGGTGGAAAAGCGGAGGAACATCCTTGAACTGAGAACATATTTAAAGAATGTATTGAAAGTTTCTTTAAAAATCACTCGTCACCAAGACAATTGCATAACCATACAATTTCGTTGAAATTCCTCATTTTTATCGAATTGAATGTAGAATTGTTACCTTGTCACAGGCTGAACACTCGCAGTAATTCCCATTGTATCCAGGATCACAGGTGCAGCTCCCACAAGTGCATTCTCCTCTGTTGCTGCAAGCCGAAGACTCACCGGGTGCAATACACAGCAGTGTGTTTTCAGTCCAAGCACTTTCGTCACAGTCACACTTTTCTCCTGTACAAATAAGCGCACATGATGCTCAAATTGATGTACCATAATTTCACTCATGACGTTGCTAAGTTGATGTGATACACAAACATACCAGACCATCCCCGGTTACACTGGCAAATTCCACAAACGTCAGTGCCATAATTACAGTGGGAACTATTGGGATTTTCACAGTCACACCCGCACTGCAATTCAACTTCGATTACAGTTTCAGAAGCCTCTGATGCCAGTACGTCGTCGATTGCAATCCTTTGGGTCTAGAAATTTTTTTATTTCTGAAATTAAATTCTCGTTGCTTCATCAGGTCTTTGCTAATCTTTTCATGACTCCTCTTAATATCATTCGAAGATGAATTGCGAAAGACTATTGGGAATTTTGTGACTTTTAGAGTTTTTTCTGGGAATGTTTTGAGAGGTTGGATAATATGAGAGGATCAAATTGGAAAATCAAATTGAGACTCTCTGTTTTTGCACAGTTCCGACTTTTCGGAAGGGAGTTACAGGGAAATTACAGGGAGTGAGTACTCATGAAGATTTGTGTGGGAAAAAAATTAATATTTGGTTTGGTGAATTTTTTTGGGCTCTCTGTGACAACATTGTAAAATACCCACCCAAAATTCTTGATTTTTCGGGCAATCGTTGAGCGATAATTCAATCCTAAAATCATATATCATTCCTTCCTGTATGCTACTACATTCTGAAGTAATTTTCTCGACATGCCCAGGCTTTCCGCAATTGGTATAATACCGCAAATCAATCAATGCACTCGAATTATCCCGGAGAACAACTTTCGTTAATATATCGTGATAAGATTGCTTAATAATCTCCAAGATATTGGAGCTGTTGGCTGCGAGCGTAGCAACTCTCCCTTTTTCTTTCAAAAGACTGGCTATTTGCTCGTACTCCAGTCGTCGGTCCTCGGTCACTGCGAAGATGAGATTTATTTTTTTTTGTTTCAGAAGTCGTGAGATTTCTGCGAGTGAAGGGTAATCGAATACTTTGGACATTGAGTATTCACCAGCTTCATCCAAGTGGCAAGAATAATCGTGCTTCCTCACAACTCCACCTAACTGAAAAAAAAGTTAATGCAATTATCTGCGGAATGACTGCAAAAAAAGGGAAAAAATTCACCAGCAATCAGTGGAGCGGGTATTAATTAATTATCGATTGGATAAGATCGGCCTGCAATTGTATTAATTGTAGGACAATGTCTATTAATTAAAAATTTATAGATGGCACGTTGAAACCTAGTTTTGCTCGTACTTCATTCATTCCATTTATCGTTTCTGTCGAATGTCTGATGGCTGATGAATCCTTTGAATTTCAAATTTTTCTTCAAATACTATACAAACTTTTCCTTCTCCAGCGAAATGCATGAATCCATCAGTGGCAATAAGCATCAATTTTCTCGCTTGTCTTGCCCATCCCACTTGCTCTGTACAGACAATTGCTTGAACCACTCCATCCATACCACCTTCCAAGTTATCAACATTCCCCGTGACATGACTAGCGTTCACCTGTCACAATACTAAATTACTAAATTACTAAATTCATTTTACAATTAAATTACGTTTACGACGCAAGTGAACAAAAAGAGAAAACTCT